ACCCATAGCTGCCCTCCCTCCCCACCCGCCCTCTTTCCCACCCACCCCCATTGTCCCATCTTAGCAGCCCCTCTGGCCGCTCTCCAATCAGTTGGTGCCTTTCCCAAGCCTTTTGAGTGGTTGTGCGATGCTGCTCCCTGCATCCCCTGTGACCAAGGGATGGGAGTCAGAGTCTTGGCCAATGGAAATTGCCAGGTCCTATAGAAGACCAGCTTCTCCCCTCTTCCTGTCTATGTTAGCTTGCTAGGGCTGATGTGACAAAAAGCCACAGACTGGGTGTCTTAAACATCCAAAATGTATTGCCTAGGGGCTTCCCTGGTGGCGCAGTGGTTGGGAGTCCGCCTGCCGATGCAGGGGACGCAGGTTCGTGCCCCGGTCCGGGAGGATCCCACATGCCGCGGAGCGGCTGGGCCCATGAGCCATGGCCGCTGAGCCTGCGCATCTGGAGCCTGTGCTCCGCAGCAGGAGAGGCCACAGCAGTGAGAGGCCCGCGTACCGCAAAAAAAAAAAAAAAAAAAAATATATTGCCTAACAGTTCTGGAGGCTAGAAGTCCACAAAAGATGTTGGCAGAGTTGGGTCCTTCTGAAGGCTGTGAGGAAAGGCTATGTTCTAGGCCTCCCTTCTTGGCTTACTGATGGCCGTCTCCATGTTTATATGTGTGTCTGCCCCAAATTTCCCCTGTTTATGAGGACACCTGTCATATTGGATTAGGGCTGCCCAATGACCATTTTAACTTGATTACCTCGGTTGAGTCTCTTTGTCCAGATAAAGGCACATTCTGAGGTATTGAGGTTACGACTTTAACATCGGATTGGGGGGGGGTCACAGTTCACCCCACGGTCCCAGCCAGGACCACTGATCTCTGCTATCTCTTCTCTGTCTTGAATCATGGCATCAGCAGCCCTGGGATCCCGGAACCTGCCCTAAGAATTAGCCAGAAATCAGACCTGGATTCTAGCCTGAGCATTGTTACCAACTGTGCTTTTGCCTTGAGTTGTCATTTTACTTCTCTGAGCCTGTTTCTGAAACCAAAACGGAGGAAATCATTTCCGCCTTGCATGCTTCACAGAGCTACTGTGAACACCCAATAAGATAGTATGACAGCATCGTGAAAAAATAAGTATCCCACAAATGTGAGGTAATATCACTGCACTATCATTATGATTACTCGTAAGAATAAAGGAATCCTTGGGCTAGAAAAAGTCCCATCCTCACCCTCTGAAACTGAAGGAAAGCCGTTCCATTTAGGAAGCCATCCCTCTTTATTCCTCCCGAGAGGAAACCTCACGCTTCCCAGACTCCTGTTCTGATGAATTACGATGTTCATTCACTTCAGACCGTCTGCATCTACCTAATCCACAGTGCCAGGGTTAAGCCCTCTTGATTCCATTCTGGCCCGGGTCGGGGAGAACTGATTACTACCCATTATTTCTTAGTCATCTCTTTCATTAAATCAGACTTTTCCTGATCCGTTGCCACGTGCCAGGCACTGTGCTTAGGGCTAAGGACTCTGAGCCTAAAAAGGCACTATCCTCGCCCTTCTGTTGCTCAGTCTAGAGGCCGGGAGTTCCTGGGGTGCAATCTGGACTTCTCCCTAAGAAACACACCGCTTCCCAGGAAATGTTTCATTGTGTAGCAGCGTTCCCTAATTCTTTGTTCTCCTGAGACAGCGGCCTCCACATCCCCATCTGCAGGTGACACTGACCTTCTTTGCTCTGAACTGTCCTTCAAGCCAGGCTGACTCCATTCGCGCTCATCACTTCCCACGGGTACGTTCGGTGCATCTGGTGGTTCTGCTACTGAATAGTCCTCAGCCAAAGGCTGCAGCCCCAAAGTCTACGTGGGGAAGACCCCATCATCTTGCTGTTCTAAAATAGGCATCTAGGACCCTGACTCCACCATCGGTCCCATGCCATGTGACAAGGAAGGTCGCAGTCTGGTGGCTGGTCTAGATCACAAAGTGAATGATTGATTCACTTTTGATTGATTCACAACTAATTGATTGACAATCAATTCACAATTGATTCACAATGATTGTTCTTTCTATCACACTCTTTCATCTCTCCCATAATAGCCTGGTTGATCTGGCTTGGTGGCGTTTTCCCAAGAGGATGCCATAGGTTCCTGCTTCCCCCCAGCTCTCTCTCTGGTCAGTATCTTTGACCACACCCATCCTCCACACCTGTGTTTCTAGATTCTCCTCCCCTCCCTCACTTTGGGCCCTGGCCTGCTTCCTCATGTGGAAACAATGACCTCTAATTTAGCTCTGCAATATCTCTCCCAAGAACACCCCAAATTTTCATATATGGATAGCTAGATAATTCCCACTTCGCTGATCCCCCAACCTGCTCTTTCTTACAAAGATCCCAGTGGCTTCTCCCCACTTCTCAGTAAAGACTCAGTCAGAGAGCCCTCTCACTTAATAAATTTCTGCAGTGTGCTTATTAGGGCCTTGTAATGTAGCCGCCTAAATAATTAAGACTAACCCACAAGTGTCAAATTAAATGAGCCAAATACATTGAGAAATTGCCTGGTCCTCCATTTCTTTTATTAATCAGGTTTTTTTTAAAAACTTCTTTTCCTGCTCATTTGCAAAAGTCAAACATGGTCGGTGAGACTCTTACTTATAATAACCGTGCATATGTGCAGCCTCTTTCCTTGGGCGATTCCCCCTGCGGGCATATTATATATGACATAGGACAGGGTCGGTTGCAGTGGCAGAGACAGCCAGCCCAGATAACACAGAGTCAACAGGTTGTCCCCGGTCTCGAAATCTTTAGGAGAATCGTGCTTCTTCCATTTCCTTGAGAGTCGAGGGGACTGTCCAGGAAGCCCAGCACGAACACGGGCCAAAATCCACCCAGCATCTGCTGCCCTCCACCCCTCAGTGCCCACCTGGGCTCGTTCCTGGACTCGATGCAAGAGCCCAGGCTCCGCTTCTCATTAGGAGCTGCTACAGATGTGCTTCAGATGAGCATGAGAAGTCAGTGGAAAATAGAATAGGAACCATCAGCAATTGTATCATTGTGATGATGAACAATATGTGCAATTATAATGGGCTGGTTAACTCTGCCTGTCGTCAGCATGTTGAGGTTTCAATACAGCGCCAGGCAAGAGGCTATTGTCTGCTGGAGCTCAGAGCCTCCCCACAGCTTGGGCTTCCGCTGGCCCCCTCCTGGCATGCCGCATTCCTGCCTCTTGAAGGTGGTTGTTAGAAAGGATCCACAAATATAGTAAGTAAACATCAAAGGGCCTTTGATCCGCACAGCTTTCAACAGAGCAGGAGCCCCTGAAGAAAGGGCCAAGGCCTTGGATGAGGGAACTTAACATCGTCAATTTGAGCGCCTGAGATGTAAGGCTGTTTGAAGTGAGGGCGTTTTGGCCGTGCCTTCAGACAAGCGTGGAGGGAAAGGAAGAGAAGTGAGTGCCTTTGGAAAAGGCACGCTCAGATCTGCTTCTCTGCTCTTTACTGATAGTCAATAAACCCCTTTAAAGAATCAGGAGATCAAAGCCTGCGACCTCCTTGGGCCATGGCTTCTGCCACCGCCCACCACACTTTGTTTTCCTCTGGGGCTGGAGCCCCTGAGCTCGACTTAGCCGTGTCTCTTGGGCCCTTTCATCCTGCTGCCCAGAGAGGCTGGGCCTGGGCCACAAGAGGTGGGTGGAGGGGTAGGGGGCAGAACGAGCCCAGCCTCTCTATGCTCTGACAGCCTAGATGCAGACTGTCTAGGGCTCAGAGGAACACCCAGTGTCGTGGGAGAAGCTGCGACGTGACACACCCCTCAGGGGGAACCTCCTTCTCTAAGAAACCGATGGAGAGAGTATCTGGGCGTCCAGAAAGCTAGCAAAGCCTGGAAGGAGCCGCAGGCACGTCCCCACCTCCAGAAATCATACCCCTTATCCATTTACCCAGTTTATGGCAGCTGCCACATTTGTATGACTCCAAAGCAAAGAGGGAGGGGCGGGGAGTCTACAATAATCATGGGTAGTCACTTATCATCCTTGAACTTCAATCTTCTCATCTGCAAAATGTGAATAGTAATAACCGACCTGCCTACCTCATGCAGTCGTTGTGAGGGTCAAAAGAGAAACTTGGTGTGGAATTGCTTCAAAGCCCACAAGTGCTGAAGACAGGTGAGGAAGAAAGGATAAATACCAGAGAGGAAATCTTGCCCGGTTGGCTGAGGTACTCCAGTCCAACGCTCACACACGATGAGCACTGATTTACAAAATATCGTGGGGGAGAAAACGGTCTCTTGCTTTTGCTACCTGGAATTGTTGTTCCAACCTGTTGTTCCATTGGGTCAAAGTCTTGTGGGACCAGAGTCTATGTCTTACGTCTCTCAGCCATCCCCACCCCTGTGCTCTACACTGTGTTTACACCTCATAAGTGCCAGATGACAATGCTGAATTGCACCTGAATATAAGGATGAACAGGGATCCCCAGCCCCAGAAATTCACTCTCTCCCAAAAGATAGACTCCTTCTACCTACACCTTGACCCCTGTGTCTTCTTCCAAATTTACCCAATCACTCCTTTGGCCACTGTGTCTAGTTGTACTGTTCCATCCTGGACACCGCTGGTTGGACTCTGCGTCTTCTCTGGCTTGACAACAATCCCAGTGTGATCAGAGCATAGTCCCTATGCCTGGGATATATAGGGCCTCGTGAACCTATAGAGTAATGGTTATGAACATGGACGCTGGAGTCAGGCTGCCTGTGTTCAAAATCCCGGCTGTGCCACCTACCAGCTCTTTCACCTAAGGCTGCCTGCTTAATATGTCTGTAAATGGGGATAACAATGGCATATACCTCAGAGGGCTGTTGTGAGGAGCAAAGGATGAAATTATTGGTCTTAAATTATGTCTGGACCATAGTAAGTGCTTTCTAAATGTTTGTCAAGTAATTAAGTAGCCCTGTTTATAAGAGCAACAAGCTTTACATCCCTTGCACTGACCCCTGACCCAGTCCCGCCTCACCGACCTCTGCTTTTCTTCCAGAGCTGGGCCTCCAGAAGAGAGGATGCTGTCTGGTGCTGGGCTACATGGCCAAGGACAAGTTTCGGAGAATGAATGAAGGTCAGTGAGAACCCGCCCTCTCAGGGGAAATGGGGAGGGAAGAAGTTATGCCCTACAACTATGGTACCAGGAAAAGAGCCTGGGCCATTTCAGAAAGGACAGTGGGCACATCAGTTTGGTTTCCATGAAGCTGTTCAGATAGTAACACGGGGAAGAGCACCTAATGCCCGAAACACTGTGTGCTGATTCTCGAGCATTCTTCACACGCTACCTTCCCTCCTCCCTTGGTGCCCCCTCCTTCTCTTCCTCTCTCTTTGTTTCCTTTCGTTCCTCACTTACCCACCCAGTGCAATTAAATCTGCTTCTATTATCTTTTCTCATCCAGACGTCTCTGCCCTTTTCCTTAATCATTCACATTTCTTGGATGCTTATTGAATTAACGGCACCTCACGGGGCATTTGGGAGGATACTATACAAGAATAAGGCAGAGCTTTTATTCTCAAAGAGCTTCCCCTCGAAAAACTGCCCTCTTTTCTGACTCCATTGGCCCTACCTCTCCCACTTACTCATAGGCCATTCTGCCTTCCTCTAGCACTGGGTTTTTCCTCTGAGGTTTGACTGGGCCACAGAAGGCTGGAGGAAGGTATTGACATTGATGTGGAGGCTAGGATGTGAGAGGAGTGCTGTCACTTACGGGCCTGCTGTAATAAAGAGCCAATCTCCTCATCCCCAGCCATCTGTCTCCATGCAGTTCATAAGCCTCTCCATCAGATGCCACAGACCATTTGTCAGGATTCAAAAGTAGGTAAGCAATGGCTGGGGAGGCCACTTATTCAGTAAAGTCAGACAAATGAAACCCTGGCTTCTCACCAGCCCAGCTTGCCATGAGCTGGGCCCCTCCCCACTCAAGGACCAGGGTCCCTGTAGCCTCATTCCCATTCCAGGCATGGAAAAGGCAGCTCACCTGTACCATCTCAGCCCTAAAGTTAGGCCATAGCATGGCTCCCTCTTCCTATGGTCCTTAGCTGGCTCTCCTCCCAGCCCACAGACCATGACACTCACAACCCCATGTGCTCCCCAGACCTAATGCCTCACCCGCTGTAGGTTTGTTGCCAGCACACATCATACTGACAGTTTGACAGCCGTTAAGCCAGCACAATTAAACATAAAGACTATCACCTCCCCCGTTTCAATGCCTGTCTGTGTAAGAAGGCAAGAACCTCAAGAAGCTACTTCCTCTTTGTCGGAGCTCCGTGGCTGAGCACAGCCAGGGCTGAGGGTTGCATTTTCTGCATCCAACCAGCCAGTATCCCTTCCTGACTTTTCTCTTTCGCAGTCTACCCCTACCTTCCCAACACCACGTTCTTGAGAGCCGAGGCAGTAACATCTAATTTGTAGAAACTGACAGCATGCCTCTGTCCATGGTGCTGAATAGACACATTCTCTTGCTGGCAATGCTCATTAGAGAAGCTGAAATGAGGGTCACAGGGAACAGGGGTGCCAAAAAGTCAGGACTTGGACTGGATTTGAAAGCTCAAGCTCTGAGTGCCTGACCTCAGTAGAAGGATACTGACTCAAGATCTTGGGGCCTAAAAAAAATCATATCACAAGGCTGATGAACACGATTTGACTCCCTCCAAATTTTCACAAGTGACTTGGGCTGCCATAACAAAATACCATAGATTGGCTTAAACTCAGAAATTTATTTTCTCACAGTTCTGGAGACTGGAAGTGCAAGATCAGGGTGCCAGCATGGTCAGGTTCTGGTGAGAGCTTTCGTTCTGGTTTGCAGACAGCAACCTTCTCACTGAGTCATCACATGGCAGAGAGAGAGAGAGAGAGAGAGAGAGAGAGAGAGAGAGAGCTCTGGTGTCTCTTCTTACAAAGACGTTAATCCTATCAGATCAGGGCCCTACCCTTATGACCTTATTTAACCTTAACACTTTTGTAAAGGCCGTATCTCCAAATACAGTCACAATTAGGGGTTAGGGTTTCAACATAGGAGCGGTGTTGGGGGGGGGTGCAGCAGGGGAACACAATTCAATCCATATTTTTGCCATAGCAGAAATGTACGATGGTAATACTCTGAACCAGAGGTTAGGAAAATGGTAAGAAAAATAAATGCAGCCTTAATATCTCCTTAGATTTTGTTCAAGTAAAGAAGGAAGGAAGAAAGTCAGGGAGGACTAGAGGAGGACTTGGAAACACGACCAGCACCAGATGACTCCTGAGGACAGTTAGCCTTACTTTGTGCAACAACTAAGCTGAGGCGGCATTTTAAACTGTTTTTTCTTGTTAAAAAGGGAAGATGCCAGAACAATGCCTCTTCTCTCTAAGTCCCCTCTTCAAACACACACAATCCATATAGACGGGTTATTCCTTTCAACTGACTGTGGTCGACCTGGTTAGGAATGCTCTACCCCAATGTATACCCTCCGCCAGTGAAGACAAACTGAGAATCAAGGAAAAGGCAACAGAGACAACGGCAATAGCCAGGAGGTAACAGAGCGGCTAAGCCCCAGCCCCGCCTTCCTCTGTGCCTGTGATTCTCGCCCCTCCCAAATGCCCCCACCACCCCCCCACACACACATATTCAGGCTCACACACAACAGCACATACAGTAGCTGCTTCTGCTTCTGGGTAAACAAGGAGACAAGGGGGTGGTAAGCAAGTGAAACCACCATGTGTGAGGAGTTACAAATCTCAGCTAACAGAGGAGACAGGATAAGAGGCGGGTGAGTCACTGGGACAGAAGGAGGGATGCCGGGGGGGTGGGTAAGCTTTGGCTCTGGAGGGGTGGGGGGCTTGAGGAGGGGAGGCGGGAGGGGCCTGGAAAGGAAAAGAATGTTTCTCTGCTCCCACTCCAGCCAGGCTTACTACCCCAAGTGCCATATTATACATTTTTTTCTCTTTCTAAAGCTCACATGCCCAAACTCCAACATGTTTGCACATAAGAAAAAAGCATCGGCAAGCATGGGGAGCTGTTTTATGGTTTATAATTATCTTGTTCCAATACTCAAAATGATTATAACTTCCACATATTAATAATTGAACTGGAATCGCAGCTGTGACATAGATCAAGAAACAGACATCTCTGTCCCCTTTGCACTACACTCCTTGCTGTAAACTGAACAATTGGTAGAAGAGTTTTAAAAATGATAATTTTTTCTCCCGGGTGTTAGAATTAGTGAGACATTGGAACAACTAGCTGCCTCTTCCATCAAAGGTAAGGCGGTGAGCACTATATTTGCAATTTAGAATAAAAATAAAAGACCAACTAGTGCTGTATTAAAGCACGTTTGTTCTGTTTAACAGTATCTAACAGGGTGTCTGTCACCCAGGGAGAAGTCGTCCCCTATTTCATTTGTTTCCTTAATTTGGTATCTTTTTATTTTCTTTTCCTTCCACTCTCCCCTCCTCACTACACTCCCCCCAAAAATAACAGCTTGAGAAGAAGCAAGAGAAAAATAATGAATGAGCAGGAACTTTATAGGTCTGGGGTTTCTCATAAGCTAGAGTAAACGCAACTGGTGCCGTTAAACTACAAAAAGCAATACAAAGAAAACACTATTCAAAGATCACTTAAGGGGCTTCCCTGGTGGCGCAGTGGTTGAGAGTCCGCCTGCCGATGCAGGGGACGCGGGTTCGTGCCCCGGTCCGGGAAGATCCCACATGCCGCGGAGCGGCTGGGCCCGTGAGCCATGGCCGCTGAGCCTGCGCGTCCGGAGCCTGTGCTCGGAAACGGGAGAGGCCACAACAGTGAGAGGCCCGTGTACCGCCAAAAAAAAAAAATCATTTAAGGAGACATGTGATAGTTAATGAGAGGTTTGCTCTATTTAGGAGCACGTAATAGCTTCTCAGGTAGAATTTGCAGCATTTGCAGGAATGGAGGTGGTTGGTGAAATATGTGTGTGTGTGTTCTTTCCTGTTTGGACTCAACACATCTGAGGCATCAAATGGAGATATGGACAAAAATCAATGAAGGGCTGTCAAGAAAGGTGCAAATAAAGACAGACTAGGCATGGGACTATTAAATTTGTTTGACATAATTGTCTTCATGTGATTAAGTACATGGTGCTTTAAGTAGGAACTGCTGGAAGGAGATCATTTATTTATTCATCAAACTTGCAAAGAATACCCACCATAAAAATAATACCAATCTTTCATAGTAAGTGCCAGCCACTGTTCTAAGCCCTGGAGCTTTAAAAGTAAATAAGACATAGCCTCTGCCCTCCCGCTCCCAATAGAAACACACAGGCGCATCTCAGTGTTCCTGTCACCTCCACAGGAGGTCCTGCCAGACCACCTTACCTAAAGCAGATACCCCTCTTCCCCCACCATTGTGCTCCGTTGTGACAACCAGCCTATTTACTTTGTGGCACTTACTCTAACTGGTGATTATTCATTAGGCTGTCCCACCTAAGAGTTAGCTTCAGGAAGGCAAGGGTCCTGCTCCCTCATTTCCTTGCCAGTCCCTGGGCTTTAGCCCAGTGTCTCGCACATAGGGAGTAATCAATTTCAATTTAAGTAATTAATTAGTGCCAGGAGTGGCAATGGAGGAATACCCAAAGCCACCCACAAGGGTAAGGTGGGTCTGGAGAAGGAACTCAGGAGGCAGAGCATCCTGACGTACAGCACGAGTCTCCACATCCCCAGCAGTTCCATAAGCCTTACCTCTCAGCCTCTCCTCCGAGGCCAGTGCTACAGTCCCTCCTGGGAGGCTAGGACCCGGGCAGGTCAGCCAAGCGGAGGGCTAGGAGGCGAGGCCACCAGTGGGGTTGTCCGTCCTGTACCCACTTGCCCTCCTTCCTCACCCCTCCTACTGCTGGGCCACCTTGTCGTCTGGGGCATCACTAGGCAGGTATTTCCCATGAGATATGCAGGGGGGACTGCCCAAACATGACACACACACACCCCATTCCCTTTCCTCTTTCCATCCTTCCCCGATTACCTGATTACCCATTTCTCCTGAAGAGCCCAGAACCACTCACCTGCTCAACGCACATTGCTTACCCAGGGCGGATCCTATCCAAGGGCAGAATAGGAAGCTCTCGCGTGGT